TTAAATTGGCTAAAATTATAATAATTATAATTTAACACTTATTTTTGGGACAATCAAAATCACATATGTGTAAAATTTATGTTTTGATTTATCATGTATAATACATGAATAAATATTTATTTATTTATGTTTAATATATTTATTATAATTATTATTTATATCATGTATTATTAAACATTGATATAAAAAGTAGTAATACTTAACACAACACATTTATCATTGAATGAATAATGTTACAATATTACATCATACCTACATATATGTATTCAAAATTTAAATAGGTCATATTATTCTCCATGTACGATAAGATTGAACATTAATTATGAAAAATATTTCAGAGAATAGTATTTGACATTTTCTTGGAATATTGGTTTTCCATTCATAATTATCGTGTTAAAAAGAATAATATAAATCTAAATTATTGAAAACTAATTAACTTTTTAATATATATTATATAAAACATTTATGATGTAACTATTGGCACTGCCTTAATAATATATTAAATACACATTATATTTAATATATTTTATCATATGTATAAATATTAAATTTAGGTTTTCTTTGCATAATTTATTTGCAAATTTTTCCTACAAATACTGAAATACTTATTAAAATTATCAAAATATTACTTATACTTTAATTATTATTTTTATCATTATTTAAAAAAAGACAATATACAATCTTAGTAAGAATATGAGAATAGATAAATTTGGTAAATAATAATTATAATTATTAATGTGTGGCATAAATAATATGATGAAGAACACACATTTATAACATAGGTACTTATTTGGTCTGAAATAATTTTTTTTTTAATTTTATTGAAAACAATTAAAAAAAAAAAAATTGATTATATTTTAAATCTGAAAGCTGAAAAAGATAAACTATTTTTATAACTCATTTGAGTAACTTAATTAATTAATATTTTTTTTAATTAAAATGTTTTGGAAATTGAATGATTTTAAAATTATCATTATCACAAATATTTATTATTTTTTCATCATTAAGTATTGTTTCAATTACATTGTAATCAATATCCGTTAATCGTATAATAAATATTTAAATTTGAATTTATGCATTTTTTTTTTTTTTTATAACTACCAATATAAGATTATACAGTTTAACATTTACAAGTAAAGATACTTTAACAAAATAACAAATAAAATTTTATATATAGGTACATATACTTAATTTATTGATTAGTTAAAAATCTCAAATCAAGAAAAAACAATATTGTATCATCACAGTTACCTGTTATATTTTATGTTATTACCTACTAAAAAGTATGTATCATGACAAATTAATAATTAGTTTAAGTTCCGAGCGGAATAATAAATGTATTGATTTTAAAATGATACGAATTTAATAAAATGTTCCTCATGTAAGTAACTTTGGTGGAATTAAAAAAAAAAATCTAAAAAATGTATAAAAACAATTTTTTAAATATTTATTTGTAGTTCAAGTTTGGACTAAAATATATATTTTAACGACATACGAATAGTAATGTTAATTATTTCGTAATAATTAAAAAAAAAAAAAAATATTCGCTTAAAACTTTTTTGCATAATGAATAATATACTTTTACACAATTAAATATTCAATATATATAGATTAATTTTAAGGTATTACCTATTTATAGTTTTATAGCATGATTCTATTCACAGTGTTTTAAAATAAGGCTATATTAACGTAAAAGTTAATAAAAATCATGTAATAAATGATGTAAATACGTATATATTATTATAATAATTAAATAATTATAATATAATAAACCCATTGTTTTGGTAAAAATTAAATTAACCTACCACAATACTAATGGTAAAATAAATTGATATAATAACTATATAAAAAAAAAAAAAAATATCATGAAAATAAATTTGTGATATAAGTTGATAAACCGTCTTCGCTCAAAATCGTTGTACGTGATATATTATTAAATTAAAATTTAACTAGCCCATTTCAGTGTTCCTTTGACATCTCTTTATGTACAACAAATCGGTACCCACTTGTTTACCTTTTTAACTAAAAATATTATACTAGTTTTATGACTTATAATTTATAAATTGGACATTACTTTACAACAAATATTATTTAATTAGCCAAATATTTAATTAATATCAGATAGAATTTATTAAAATATAGGTCATAAAACAAAATACCGACAAACACTAAAATTGTATAAAGTAATTTGAAAATGTAGCATTGGCCAGATAAAAAATTACACGAACTACTAGCTACTCATTTTTAATATTATCTTTAATAACTGTCGCTGATGCAGATATATGTTTAATATTCAACATTTTTTTTTTTTTTTTGAAGTTAAAGTGTTTTAAGAAAATATTATTAATATTATAAATAACACTCGCGTTACAAGTGTTGTAGAATATTTTATTATTTTTTAACGGATTCATCTATTTTATTTAAGCGTATAGCTTGTATTGGAAGTAGAGAGTTAAATGTATAGATGATTGTGTACAATAAGAACGAATAATATATAGTTACAAAACAAATTATTTATATAATAATAATTAATATGACATGCAGTCAAACAGCTGATAATACAATATAATATCAAAATAAAATGACCCTAAATTGCCTATACAGTAGGTTGTTCGATAAGTACGTGTAACTATACTATAATACATTTGACGTTGCATGAGCAAAAAGCAATAATTAAAAAATACTATATACAAACAATTTGAAAATCTCATTTATATACAGTAAAATTACGTTAGAGATGTTTCAAACGGAGTCTTTAATTTTTTTTCTTTAGTCTGTTTGAAGTACATTTTTATTTCAAATTTACATAGTAGGATATTTGCACTAGTCCACACTCACACATCATGTATATGGTTTAAGCCAAGATAAAACCACTCGGTTGTGTGAAGTGTATAATTTCGTTTTAACTACAATAATATACTATTAAAGCACTCTGGTACCTATTGTTGTTTCATTTTGTATACATATGTATACTAAGAATTTACATGTGCGTAAGAATAATATGATATTTAAGTGTAACATCGTCATAATATCGTAAATTTATATAGGTACATATGGTGTATACTGTATATTACATTAAAAAATTACAGTTTATTCTGTTGTTGGACACTTAGGCACTTGGTAGACAATTACGATAAAATTTGTAGTAAATAGCAGGTATATTATACGAGGTACCTACTACCTATATGACTAAATAAAATCAGATATATGTGCAAAGGTTATTACTGGAATGTGTAGTTTGATATTGCATGCTGTATTAAAGTTGATCCCCATATACACTAAAATTATACATACCGTATCAGACTTTTTTGATTCTTGTATCTATTATATTAATAATACATAATTTTACAATTTAATTTTTACCACCATTGATAGCTATTAAAAAAGAGCTTTAAACTAATAAATAGACCAATAACATATTTATTTTTTAAGTTCAAGTCACTGTATTTTTATCGTGTTAAAAACAATTTGAAACAACGAAAATTTAAAAATTTTTGATTTTTGTAAATTGCCGTAATTGTCAGAATTACTTATTTTTTGTGGTGCAATAAAATAAAAATTACACATTTTGGTAGAAAATATAACTTTCATTGCTGAAATATTTAAAATAAAATGCAGGTATGTCAATTTATTCATAATTTTATAAAACATATTAAACTGTATAATAAATTGTTTGATACTCGAACTACATAAAAATATTTATTTTATAAAAACCTGTCTCCCACTAATATGTTTTGCACAGTAATATACTTTTTTAATATGCGTAGACATTATTCAAGTTTCATAATATAGCATGGAAAAAATCAAATGTGAAATGACTATATACTCGTATTACAATAATACCTATTATTAATAATTCCTTTTAATTACTGGTTCTCTGTTGATAAAGACATAATTAATTTATGTATATTCCAGTTAATAGTCGATATCACTAACTAAGAAAATCACTAGATAACGATTGAGGTGAGAAAAATACGGAACATTTTCAAAATTAATTCTTAAACATTACGGTGTAAACTTATTTATAATAACGATTTTACATTTGATATTTTTTATTGTTTGAGTGGTAAATTGTAACGCATGTTGTAAAATTTGCGAAATGTACTGTGTATAATAGTAATTTTAAACTTGATACTTGTTTTATAAAGTGGAGGTAATCTTTTATGATGGCTTAATGCCAAAACCGGTGGTCATCACTTATTAAGCAATATTATTACTTTCATATCTCATTGACGTGAATTGTATCTACGCTATACGTTTGTATAATATCAATAAACACCATTACATTTTAAATAATATATAAATTTGATGCGTATTTATAGAGTATATTTTATATAATTCCGGTTATTGGATAGTAAGTAATAAAAAAATTCATCGTCGTTGACGTGGCAAGGGAATCTATACCTTGCGACGTTAAATTTTATTCTCATATCAACGACTAATGATCGTTAAAATAAATACTTACCTTCTTAACATATTTAAACAGAATAACATAATACAATTGGGCGGTGGCTCGCGATTCTTTTTTTGCAAACCCAGCGAGAACAGAAAAATTATTGCACTCGCGTATGTCGTAATAACAATAAATAAAACGTAAATAAAAAATGTACAAAATGATAGCAGCTATGTAATTCTACACATAACATAATAATATCAATAATCATTATCTTATTTAACAATACCCAAATAATAAAAATAGAAAATACATTGAAGTGCCCGTTGGCCGTTGCTTATTGTGGCCATTGTGCAACACGTTTTGAGATAGCGTTACGAGTTATGTTATCACACGACGTAGATCCGGTCACCGGGTAACAGGTAAATGCATCGGTTGGAGGTTACCACGCGCACAGGTCGTTACTGTAACCACAACGGTTGTTAATGGTGCGCGGTTTAAACCACCGCCGACCATCCAGAGTACCTATAGCTTTTCTATCATCGCAAACTCAAACGGCTCTTATCATTTATCATTTTTTTTTTTCAAAATTTTAATAATACTAAATTGTTCAATACCTGTTACTATTACTGTTATTATTATTATTTGTTATTAAATGCTATTTATTAATTATTAAGATTTGCATAAATCTTCGAGGACGTCGGTCAGTCGCGTTCAACGACGACGACAAAGTACGCACTAAATATTAGGAATATCGCTTCGTTTTGTTGATCCAACAAGTTGATTAAATAACAACAATAATTTCCTACGTTCAGGGTTTTCAGGGTAGGTATACGCCATGCACAGACGGTGGTGAAGTGTCTAGATCGGATGCTGGGACGATATTGCCTCTTCCATAGTTATTTGTCTGGTGGTTGTACATCGATTGAGATTTATACAAAAGGTTTTGTTTGAATCGAAGACTGACCGTCATGGATTGGAAGGCGGTCATATGCCAACAATTGGAGAGCAGAAACTCCAGGGAGACAAATAGTTTTCAAAACCTGATCAATTTCTGTGAGTTTACCTAGTTCTGATTTGATTTTGTTGCAATTGTTATTAACAAAAATTCTGTAATATTTTTTTTCTATTTTGGCTATTTTCAGATAATAAACTCTATGACAGTTCTCTTTTATTGAGAGCGCAAAATGTTCAACTAGAATCTCAAATTATACGTGGTAATACTGGTGGTGATTTTGTGTACTCTGAAAAAATATCGGCTTTAGAACAAAAATTGCTTGTGCAACAAGAAGAATTGACCGAATTACATCGTAGACGTGGGGAAAATGCTCAAATGATTATAGATTTAAATGCAAAATTACAATTGACTGAGCAAGCACTTGCTAGCAAAAACAACAGGTTTGTGATTATGTATAAAATTATTCAATACTTAAGTATTAATTAATAGTATGATCTGTAATTACTTATTAACTTAAAATTTATTTTATAACTTAACAGTTGGTTTTTAAGTGAAGATTATTTTAACTAAATTGACTTTTTTTTAATATTGAGATTATACTATAGTAGATATAAAACTATATTTACACAATGCTAACTGATTTGTAAAAACTATGTCCTTAAATAATTCTAATTTATTAATTATATAAAATACATTAAATTCATGGTGTAGAATTTTTATTTTATTTTAATGTGGCTAGTGTTCTATAAGTAATGATTGAACATTAATTTAAACTATAATTTCTGTTGTTATGTAAACAATTAAAATTTTTTTTTTTCTTTAAGTGATGAACAATAATTTTTAATATTTTACAACTAATGTATGAAAATGTATTTTTATTTGATTGATATATTATAAACTTTTTACACTTTTGAATATAGTTCATTACCCTCATAATAATTTACTTTTCTTATTTTAATATCTATTACTCTTAAATATTTTATTTTATTCTTTACTATTATTATTTAGAATCTATACAATAAGCAGCTATATTATGTTCCAAAATGTAATATCAAGATAATTATACTTAATAGTTAGTTCTGTAAACAAATATTAGTTTTAAGTGTTTGGTGTTATTATTTTATTTTTAATAATAAATTATATTCATGGTTGTTATTAATTATAAGTATGTTTATAATTATATAGTTCTATATTTAGATTTAATAATTTAATAATTGATGTTTCATTATGTATAAAACTTTAAACTCTTGTAAATAGAAACCAATTTTTATTATTGTTAATAGAATTATTCATTTAGATAAAAAAAGAGGTATATTGTTCAAATAAATAAATTATTGAATATTTTTTTTTTTTTAATAAAATAATATTAAAACTGAAATCCTAATTTGAAAATATATATAATAGTACATTAAGTATTTTTAAATAAATTTTGTATTTTCAAGTTAATCTTTTAAAATATTTTATGTATGGTTTTGTAAAATCTTGTAAAACTTAACACTATTCTATTATATGTACCATTTTATTTAAGAATTTAATTTTAAAGTATGAGGTATTTCTATATGATTGATTAGAATTAAGAATTCTGTAGTTAATTATAATCTGAAACAAGTAGAGTTATTTAATTTTTTAAATTGTTTAGATAGTATAAATATAATATTATATATATTTTGTAAATGTTTACGTGTATTTTTGGTAACTTTTTTTTATAGGTTTTATTAAACTATACTCTAAATTTTAAATTGTTGAACATTTATTTTTGTTTATATTATAACACATTAAAGTAATTTTTTATTTATAATTTGTAATTTAGTGTTTTGTTTAGTATGTAGTTTGTTTAATGCTGCCATTAAATAAAACCAAAACACTATATTATAAATGCAATTTAAGAAATACATTTTTTATTTGTAATTTTTAATATATTATGCAGTGTTTAATACTCAGAAGATTAAAATGTTGTTTTTTTTTTGAATTATATAAAAAAAATGTTTATTGATAAATTCAGGAATATAGTTAATATTTAAATTATAACTTATTAACTATGATTAATTTATAATTCATTCATTTGTATTTTTATTTTACATAATATATTATTATATTAAGTATACTGTAAATATTATGAATTAAATACCTATAGACAAACATTACATAATCAACATAACAAATTATTAATTAAAGTATTTAACATTGTAAATTGAAATCAGTGATTAAAAATAAATAGTATTAACTAAAATGATAAGTATTTTATAAAAACAGTATAAATTAATTTGTTAACATCAAGTTTTTCTATAATTTACTTTTGATATATCAAATTCTTATAGATTGTAGAAATATTTTTAATTTTAAAATTGTATACTTTTTTTTAGCTATAAGCCTTTAATTCATTTTAAAATTAATTTTCCACCTTCAGTGCACCGATTCAATTTCATTGTCTTTCTAATCAATAATTTCTCATTAATTTGTATACTATTTATGTTATATTATAATTGCTAGATCGTTGTTAAAATTATTTTAGTTATTTTATAATTACTATTATCTATTCATTTACATTATATAAATTTAATATTATGTTAAGATGATTAAATAAGAGAAAATTTGAAAATCAGGATATAAATAAAAAAAAATTAAGTATTTATTTTAATATTTTCTGATTATTGTTAAATTTCTTATAATATATTTATAATTATTAATATAATTATGCATAATTTATAACATATATATATATATACACGGGTAAAACTATTAATTTAGTTAAAATTATGATGGTATAATTGCTTCTACAAATGTATAGTTGACAAATAATTTTATGAAAAAAGGAAAGAGTTGCTTAGTAAAATTCTATATTGTCTTTTGTTCAAAAAAAAAAAAAATAAATTTTATTATTAAAGTATTGTATAATATTTTATGATTACAGTTTGATTGAAAATATAAAGTTAAATGCTAGTTTGCGAGCTGAAATATCTTTATATCAGAAAAATAACTCTGAGTTAAAACAATTAAATCAAGTTCTCAAAGATGAACACCAAGCACTGCAGTTGGCTTTTACTAAACTTGAAGAAAAATTACGAGCATTTCAAGTAATTGTTTATTATTATATTTTAGTTATTAATATATTTTTTTAAGGTTTAGTAATTTGGTACATTTAAATTAAAATTCAATTCAATAACATTTTTTTTACTTCTTTAGTATTCAAAAATGTTGTTGGTAATATTATATTAATAATATTTGGGTTTTATATTCATAGGTATGATTGATACAAATTATAATTTTTTCTAAAACTGCCCTACAATCTTTATTAGTAAAAATTTATTCAAGAACATTAATTTTACTAACATAACTTCGTAATAGAAATAATATAATTCAATTTAAATAAAGTATGTAATTCAATTTGGTTAAATGAAATTTATATTATATTTATTATTTATAATACATGCGAAAGAAACATATTACAATATTAATTTTATTATAAAAAAAATGCACTGTTTAAAGTTTTTCAGAAGTTTATTTAAATGCTTTTCTAAAATTTAAGGTAATAGAAAACTTAGGCACATTCTTTAAAATATGATATAAAACAATATAGTAAAAATGTTTATTTTTATTCAATAATATGTTAGTAATTAGTTAAACGAACAAGTTATATTTATATATTACGCATCTCTTAGTTTTAAAATATTTAAATTATATTTCAAATGATTATTATAGTCCCACTTTTTAGTGTTAGTAGGAAATATACAAGTATACATTTATATGTGTTGTGGTTTTTGTGTTCTCTCTGTATATATTATGTACTCTTAAAAACTAGTTGATCATAAATCAGGAAATATGACATAAAGTATTACATTTTTATGTGAAAATAGACTTTATTGCAGTTACTCAAATGCAATTATATTACAACATAATACATAGTATTTTTTATTCAAAATTTTTATTTGATTTTAACTTATGAAAACAAGTATAAAGATGACCCTGACAAAATGTGTTACATCGTGATACTACGTCATTTCAAACGAATAAATGTAAATATTATCCAAAATAAATGTGTAAAGAAAATCATTCAGCCTATTTTTAACTTAAAATAAACAAACATACATTTGATTCACGTATACTGCGTGTTGAATGATATAATAAAGTACCTATATCGTAAATTAAAATGTTTAAATATTATGTTGGTGATTATCAACTGCCTACCTATATAGTTTCTACGAAAATTAATTTTTGCACAATATGTATATATTTTCTTCTTAATTCAAAATATTATTTTAGAATAAACATTTTTTTTCAATTATACGTTATTGATATTATCACATATTCTATGTAATTTGACAATGATTATGTCTAATTATTAATCATCTTCGCGTTTCATTTTAAAAATAATATATACTTTTTATATAGATTTAATTCCATTTTATTTTAATATAGGTACATTTATATATACATAATAAAGGGCACAAGTATTTTATATTATAGTAGTGCAGTATATAATATACAAGCATTAAATCAGTTAACAGATATATAGAACAGATACATAGAATTACGCTATACGAGTAGGTACTTTATGTTATGAATAATAGTTTTATTCTATGGCATCGGGATCAATTTTACTGTGAGGCGTAAATTTTCACATTAATTACTAAATAATACTATTTTATTTTACACATAATATAACTAATAATATTGAAAATTCAAGTATCCAATCATAATTCTATGCTGAAAAAGTTATTAATGGATAAAAATAAAAATGTAATTCAATTATCATATACAGAATAGATACTTACTTCGTTTTCTTAGTAGACATACTTAAATATTACTTATAGTAATAATTTAATATTTAAAATCTTTTTTACTAACATTGGATTGTTTCTATTAAACCCCCGAAAATACAGAAGAGTAACTAATAGTTAACACAATAATAATAACACAATTATATAGTTACTAACTATATAATTGTGTTCCACTCGTATTTTTTTATGTCTTATCATTTTTACATATTTATTTATTTTTTCAATATTTAATATTTATCTTGATTTGCGCATAAACAATAGATATTATATTTAAAATTATATACAAATCACAAATGGACTGAAATGTAATATATCGGTCGTCTACACCATTAACATTTTTTTTAAAATATTTATTCTGTATTAAATCTATCCATAATATGCATGTATGATTAAATGTAATTTATTATGCTCATGAAGGCTAAGTTGAATGAAATTGTCCAGCAGTAACACTTTTTACGTGATTTTTTTTTTTATTAAATTAAATTTTAAGCCATGTCTTAATACCAGTTAGTCTTTTTGGAGGATTTTCTGGTCTATTTTCATAGTTAAGATTTAGGATCAGAAAGTGAATGGTTTACATGTTGATACAAACAATTTCATAATCATATTTATAATATGATAAAAATAATAATTTTCTATTTTTGTTAAATTATGATAAACATTGAATTAATAAAAAGGTGTTTCTAGTAGGTAATTTTATCATTGTGTTGTTATGAAATGTATTAATTTTAAAATAATTTATCAAATTAACTTATTGTTATGTTATAGAAATGATTCTAAATTGTTTTTATTTTAAATAATAACAATAATAATATCATTAAAATTAATACAACTTTGTTTTTTTTTTTTTTTTTTTAAATGACCGTTTTTAAACATTTTTGATTACAATTTTTCTTAAGATTACATACTTGCTATTTAATAATTTTCTATAGGATAACAACTAAAGCGTGGAAAATTATTTTTTGAAATCGCGATTTAATTTTAATTTTTACGTTTATATTAATTTTCACTCATTGAGTAATTTGCATAATTTGAATTTAGCTTTAAATCTATTCCATAATACTATGTTTTTCAATCGAAGTTTAACTAATTTGTTTTTAAGTCATTTTTTTCGTCTCTGTAGTCACATAAAAAATATTTTATTTTAAATAAAATCATAATTTATCCGAATTAATTATTCTTTTAATTTATTTTCAAGTTAACTATGTTGTGTACCTTAAACTATACTTATAATATTGATGATTAATGCTCAAATATCAGTTTAACAACCGTCAAATAATGTTTTGTTTTGTTTTGTTTTGAATGGTTTTTTTTTAAAGTTTGTCCATAGAATGTTTATATATTTTTCAAAAAATGCAATTATTTACTTAATTTTTATAAAAATGAATTTATCTTAAACATAACGATATTGTGTGTTTTTGGACGGCCGAGATGATATTAATTTAAAAATGTAAACAATTGTATTATATATTTTACATATTTTACTATAAATTAATGTACAATGTATATGATACTGAATATTAAATAATAATATGAATTTCTTTTTCTTTTTTTTTTTTTATTAAAAAGAAGAAATATTAAATTATTTGATACAAAATTCAAGGTGTAGGTTTTTTTATGAACTGTACAAATATATAATTTATATTATGCATTTAATAATCTATAGACCATTGTATTTGCCATTGTAATGTTAAAATAGTCAAACTGATTTTTTTAAACATTTTAATCCGATAACTACAAAAAAACATTCACGTTTGGGTTATAAACGTACCTGTTTGTTTGGAATAACGATTGTCCATTCATCGCCTTCAAAATTGCCTTTTTTATTTTTTCAATAATTGTAATGTTGTAATCATATTAAAAAGACGTACTCATTTCATGACAACTTATTTTCATAATTATTTATTATTATTGAGATCTTCAGATTATTATTAGGTTTATGTAAGTAGGTATAGCATAGAGTTGTTGTATAGCTCAATGCTTCCCTTGATTTGAGTAAGTCCGGAAAATATTTGCACTATAAACATTTTACTTATTGTAAATACTTTTACGGATCGTAAAAATTAAAATTAAATAAATAAAAATAAAAAAAATATACTCTGTAATGCCAATTAAAGACCTAAACCGTGGCGCTTTGAAACGAGTCTATTTATAATATTGCATGAGAATATGCCCCCACTGGCGTGCCAGTCAGTTGACACACGAACTGTACAATCACAAAATGTTCGCTAAGCTAACGCGTCGTCGATTTTCATTACAGGATGAAAACAGAGAACTCGTGGTCAGGTTAATGACTTATAAATCTAAGGACGCCGAGAAGTTGAATGAGGAAAACGACCATCTAGTCAGGTAACAATTAGCACGCGGTGCATTTAATGTTTGCGCAGGGTAGCTATATTAATTAATTAGATGCAAAAACATTATAATGTTTGTGTACATGATGATAAAACTACATTAACGTGCATGCTGTAGTAGAACTATTACTACAATGGTATATACTCTATTACAATAATGCTTCATATATTTAGAATTCGGACTGCAGCATGTCGAAATACTAACTTATAATTAATTTAATTGAAGGACACATATTTTTAATATTAACATATTGTTATTAAATAAATATTTAATAATTATATTATATTTATTAATTTATTATGATATTATTGTATATTTTTTTAAGTATTTTAATACAGTGTGCTACAAAAATTAACAAAAACAAAAATTTATCAAAATTTATTTTTTTTTTTTTTTTATGTATACAAATTTGAATAATGTAATATTTTCATAGAAAACAAAATCTGTATTTTTTGACTGTCGCTATCAAAATGCTAAACATTGACTATTAGCCTTTAAATGGAAATTATAAAAATAAATAACTTATTAGGTATCAAAAAAAAGAATGCATATTTTTAGTCCATTCAATTAGATAATACGATTGAAAAATATTTAAATTATCATATCCTATTATTTATTTGATCCATATATGTAATATAAAGGTTTCATTACGTTGTGTCTTATTAATCTTATACTTTAAAATGTATATAGTTTTAATTTATTTAACTTAATATTTAAGTAATATTTTTAATTTCAAGTAATATGTGGTACATATCATTTTATAAATTAATTTTTTTTTAATTTATAAAATAATTATTAAATAGACTTGAAAATCTTACAGGTTTTATGAAGGAAATATTTTTTGAAAAATTATTCATTTTTTATTATTATTTTTTTTTTTTATATAGTTCTTAAATATTTAAATTAAAATTAGTGGTTAATTAAATATAAATATATATTCTAGCAATAAAAAAAAAATCATGAAAATTAACATTTTAGTGTAAGTTTTTTTTAAAGTATAAAGTAGGTACCTTCTAATCGAATATATATATATATATAAATTAGTTCCTAAAATATCTATTTAGTTTAATTTTTATAATTTTCATATTAAATTAATGAAATAAATAATTGTGATTTGATTGCTGATAATAATTTATTCCCTAGGTAGGCATATATTGGTTTTCTAATGGTCTACTAAAAAAAGATCATAGAAAATAGAAATATTTTTGCAAAACCAGATTTAAAAAAATCGATTTTGTTTTTTGTTGCATTTCAAAAAATGAATTACTGTACAATTTTAATATTTTTATCAAATATTTATATTAACATTTACTATAAATGATGTCGTTTAAAAAAAATGTTGGCTCTTTTTTTGCAGTTTATAGATACTTAAAGTTTTTGAATTTTTATTTACCTTTTCGATTTATAAATGAAAAAAAAAAAATGTTTATTGTCGATGAAAAAGCTTAATAATTTATACAATGTTTCTTTTATGTTGATTTTGTAACAATTAAATAATATTGAAAGTCTGGTTATAATTTGTTTTTTAATATTTTAAAGTTAGTTTGAAAAATTTGATCAAAGTCACGAAAATTCTTAAATTCTTTAAAAAAATTTAATTTAAATAGCTTATGCTTAAAATGTTGTACAACAAAGTTGTTCTTGCTATAAGCTTGATGTGTTCTAAAAATATCGAAATAATAGGTAACATTTTTTTTATAGGTTTATTTATAAATTCTAATTTTGCCAAAATGGGATATTGAATTATACAGTAATAATATTGTAGTAAATGATATATTAATCGCAGAGACTTGAAACTTTTTACCATTACAAATATTATTTTTTCCTATTCACAGTTAAATTTTCAAAGTATTTAGACTAATTTTTAGTTCAATGTTCTATTCACACCAACTTAGAATACATGTGTATTGACTTAAAAGTTAATAACAACAATACTTATATGATAATTTATGTATATGATTTATTTATATGATAACATTATAATAAATAAAAATATTAAATATACGTTATTTTGCTAAAAACTAGCTCAACTTATTGTGATTTCAATAGGAAAATAAAGCAATTATAAAATATCCTCAGAAATAGAAGCTAAAATTTTCGCTTAGATTGTTTTTTATGTGTAATGTTTATCATTGAACTCGTATTCAAGTACTCAACACATTTATTTCAGTGAAGAAGGTATTCAATGACAAGAGACTCTCAAAATCTATGTACTATGCAGCAGAGCTGATTTTACGGTCTTTTAATTTAATTTTTTCGTATAATAGTTAATAATTTTAGTACCTATTTTAATAAATATAATATATGATTGCTTTCAAAATATTAATATTATTTATGTTCTATAACATGATAAATTAAGTGAGTTGTTATTAGTAAAAAAAAAAAAATAAAAACCTAAAAAACCTACCTAAAAATTTAGTCCATGTCATACCATATTTTTACTTAAGTTTTTACCCGGATATTGCATCATCATATAAATCATTTTTTTCTGATTAGTTATTTAGAATTATTGTGTCATTTTCTTAGAATAACATTTTTTCACCTTTTAATTTCTTAGTACCTTAAGATAATGTAATTTAATTTTTTTAAACTATACTATTAATTGTATGTAATTAATAGGTAATAGTTATCATTCTTTTATATAAGTTTAACTATACCTATTATTTATTATCTATGTTATTTTATTTTATAGAAAACGAAATGCTATTATGCAAAATGAACTTAAAGAAGCAGCTAATGATATGCGTGGTGTAACTGCAGAATGCTTGACAACTGCTGTAAGCAATAGTATTGGCCCAATTATGGCATCTCCATGTGCTATGCCTAGCAAAGCTACCATTCGATTTGTAAGTACTTCAAAATATTAAAATCATATAATATTGTACTATATGGATTTTGAATATAATACTTATTGATCATTGAATACCTATTAATCTGCTATATTTTAGTTATTGTATATAATAATTTTTGAATAAATACTTTAAATTCCTAACTAATAAGTGATAAATATGAAAATGTAATTTCATTTCAATTTGTTTATTTAACAAGGATTATTATTATTATTATTTCATTTATCGGTTTGACTACATTTATTTGTATTAGAAAACATTTTTTTTTTTTTTTTAAGTAGTATTAATTGTGTATTCAAAATATAATATAGGACGCTCATGATGGTGTTGTAAGTGCTGTTAAATGGAGTCCAGTAGATCGAATGGTAGCAACTGGAGGAGAAGACCGTAAGGTGAAGCTGTGGGATGTCTCTAAAGGTAAATAATAAATATTCAAATATTTTGGCAAAAAAATTAAAATCTTAAAACTCAGCAGATTATTTTAATTTTGTATATAGGGGTTGCTGAGTGCAAAGGTATGTTGATTGGTAGTAATGCAGGTGTTATGTCAGTCGAGTTTGACAGCACAGGTGGTCAAATAGTAGCAGCATCTAATGATTTGGCATCGCGTGTTTGGACAGTAAATGATCAACGACTTAGAGTGAGTAAATATGATTAAGTACATTATTTAGTAAACAAGTAGCTATTAAAAAATAAAAATACAACATAATAATGTTTGTTCATTTTTTTAAATTTAATTTCACATAATTTTTAATTACCATATAAATATTACTTAAAACTATTATCAATATATATATAATATATATATTTTAATTATAATTAATATATAAAATAGAAGACTATATAAGAATATATTATATAATATTATATATATATATATATTATTTTAATAATATTTTAAGTAAAAAAAATCTTAATGTATAAATGAGTAATTACATCTCAAAAGTACTACTTAATATTAGTACTCATATCTGACTTAATATTCCCTTTTCTTGGTTAATTATCACTATGGCTATTGGTTAATTTAAACATATATGGTAAAAATATGAAAAGTGAGTTATAAATAAAAGCTATTGATTACATTTTATGCCACAAGATAGGGAAAGTTGTCATAATTAAGCTTTAAGAAACGTAGACAAGACTCCAACAATTTTGAGTTTTATATAAATTTTGTTTGAATGATTTCAAACATACATATTATGTTCATCGTAGGAAAAATCGTCTACGTTTCAGCCCAATAAATTCTTACACGTTAATTAATTCTAAAATAAATTAAATTGGTTGGCTAAACCATATTATTGATTATTAAATTAAATTTTCAAAAAATATTGATAATTGCGATAATTTATAGAGAAAATTGAATACTATCATGATAAACGGCTGTAGAGTATTTTTTTATAATTCTTCAAGTAAATAATTAGAAAGAAAAATTTTGCTAGAAATTATTCAATAAATTATATTTATCATTTGGTATCTAATTAAAATATTGAGATAATTTGAATTTATTAACTAGTTTAAAACCTAGTTTTTATTAAGACTAAATTTTTGTTAGGTCTAAAAAAAATATTTTTATTTTAATTTCTTAAAAAAAGCATGGGATAATCGTTATGATATTTATAATTTATATGTATCATTACATATAAATTGAGTCGTTACTACTATGAGTATAAGACTTTTAATTTATTATTTGTTACAAGTGATCAAAAAATTAATTATAACATTTTTTTTTTTTTGATTATAATTATAATCAGATAAAAAAGTTTAAACTTAAAATCGGACTGCTTAGCCTATTTATAAGTTAACGGTCTTATAAATACTACAATTTTTTTATTTATTCTGACCGTTAAGGCTATTTGAGCGCGATGTCACTTTAAAAAGATTGTTTATCAATATGATTAACAAATTCATAATTTGTATCTTAGCTAATTTAGGTTAAAAAATCTGTCATGGCAAACTATCTCATATGGATCATTAAAAGTCGATCACTTAATATCGTTTTGCATACCCCGTATCGTACAGCTTGCACATGCTGTCTGTTCGTCCTACTGGTATGCTCATACTCACAGACAACCCATCTTGTTGATGGTATTTGTCAACGTGTCTTTTTTTGTTCCAAACATACGCCCACGCTATTAGCACGGCAACTTGAACTGCCAGAAACACTAGGCACGATATTATAACGCCGAACAAATTAACGCATAAACTATCGATGTTGTAGTCGTGATGCTTTATGCTAAAAGCTGTCGTGTCCGAAGGATTCATTTCCGGCGATGCCTGTTGCGCGCCGAAGCCGAATTTGTCGGTGATTTGAATGCTCTGCACGAGTAGCATGTCGTCTCTGGCATCTGAAGTATTTTTGGTGGATCTTCGTCGCCTTCTTTTGCCAAACGAGTGTACGGACCTGAGTTCTCCCGAAGCGTCTTCTTGGTCACACTGGACAGGTTCGCAGGTTGGCATGCAAGGTGTAACCAGAGCTCTAAATTGAACCACCTCGGATGACGGGAATTTGAACGCATCAAAATATGATAAGAGTATCTGAAAAAAATTAAAAATAGAATCAATGGTGCTATTATTTCGTAAACTCGATTTGACATGCTCGTTGTAGAATCCCCTACTATGATGACATGTATACTATATATTTAAATATTTATTATTTAACGGATGTGGATTGAAAGTCTTACCTTCCCACTTCCTGAGTCGGACGATTTGTAAAGAGGGCCCATGATAAAGTGGTCGGTTGGACATCCATCAGCATCAATCAGTACGATTTCACTGGAGTCCACACCGTCCATAGCTACTAATTCTCTAACAAATATTTCGTACGGGCTGTTTGGGTCCAATATTTCGAATCGTAGTGCTAGCGGATCTCCCACTTCGGCTGTAGGCTTAACGTCAGCCCCTTGTCGATCCGTAATCTTCATGGCGACATTCGGGGAGTCCACAATAACTTCTTCTGTCATGGCTGGTTTCAAATCACCCTGTATACCCAGATCTACTTCGTTTGAAACTGTTTTGTTAGTTAAGTCGTATTGACATGTAATGGCCACACCAAGATCGGAACTAGTGATTATGGTGTCATGGTGTTGGATAATGACGTCGTTCATGTATCTACCTAAACCTTGTTGTTTTACGTTACACTCTACGTCATCATAAGCCATTTCAAGTTCAAAGTCCAAACTTCCGCGTACATCTTGAACACAAGAATTTGGATTTCCTTTCGCATAAATTTTTCCATTGAATAATTTGCTAGTTTTTATTCTAGCGACCATGTCACCCGAACGACACTCGATGCTTATGTTGTAACAAGAGTTTAGCTCATAAGTTGAAGCTTCTGGAACTTCTAAGTAGGGGTCCTGAAACATTTTAAATTACATTGTATTAGATTACGAATAAATTAGTATTCTTTGCACCCGTAGATTTAGAATGACGTGTATATGATATGTTATGTATATGTTGTTGACCTGCATGCGGGACAGTTTTTTTAAAATATTTAAACGATTCAAAAAGTACTGTTAAACTTATCATTGTTAATGTAGAATTTCAAACAATCTACTTAAATATTTTTAACGTGAAATGTGTGTTGTTTTATTAAATTACTATTTTGTGTGGTTGTAGTGTATGAAAAAAAAATTAAAGTGAAAACAATTGCGTTTAAAATGACGGGAAGTTAATACGTATCATTATGTTTGTAAAGTTAAATATTATTATGTTTTGAATATTAAAATTAACGTAATCTGACAAATATTATTGTCGCATTCATAAACTGGGTCTTCTTTTTTCCGGAAACCATTAGCTGTCTGGACACATCATAACTAATCAAAATATTAGAATGTTCTATCAAAAACCGCGAAATTGGAGTTAGTTGGCTGTGACTTTTTTATAATTCAGATGTTATGTGCTAAATCCGTTTTGAATGAAAGTACTTATTTCCACTGCCCATAAATCCATATACAACGTTCAAGGTTAATATAATATAGAGAAATCGTTGAAAAATGAAAATACTGTGATTCATCATCAGTCGGCTGGGTACTTAGCGACGGACATCTTTAGAAAAGTATAATATCTTAGAATTCTCTTCGGAAAATAGTAATATCAAAAATAAATGTTCGTGTCATAATTTTCATCGGCACACCGATTCTAATCAACCGAAAACTGGGTCGACATGTATAGAAGGTCCTCACAACACCGACATCCCGGGGATAACGTACCGTGGCGTTAGTTTGTTATTATTACAATTTTTATTAGTATTATTGTGTGTACGATGTGTTAGTGTGTGGAAGGATTCCGTTTTTGGCACTACTCGAATGTGGGTTACAACAACTAAACGTATTTGGAAAAGGATACGGCACATATTAACACGCACAAAAATAATAATAATAAAAAAAAATAATATATATTTATGTGTTTTCTTATTATTGAAGTTCACTCAACAATCGAATCTTATTTTTCATTTTCATAGAGTACCTACATTTTACACGGGTGTAAGAATAATATTTCTGTGAAAAATAGACTTGACGTCTAGGTAGTCGTCCTATGTATTTTGCCCCGGAAAATCGAACATTTATTGATAAATATGATAAATTCGATACCAGAACGTATATCGTTAGTTTATATTAGCTCGTACATCAAGATACTGTACAACAACATCATATTTTGTGTACATTTTATTATTATTATTATTTACAAATTCGATAGTAGTGGTTTTTATGGCTGCTGTCTAAAAAACGTCCTACGCAATTATCGGGATTACGCCTATTCGGGCGTTAATATTTTTAAATTCTATTGATAATCGTATGGCCAGTGGTTTCCGATTGCAATTATTCGCGCTACGAAGTACATAATATGACGGATTAAAAAAAAATACGTTATATAAATATAACATTGATAATGTTCGTCGATCGTCACCTGTATGTCGGCTAATGTGGCTCTAGAATGATGACTGAGCCGGCACACGAGTTCGCCGGTATCGCCGTAATCGTACGAATGACACCTGTACGGCGAGTTGAGGCACAGCTCCCGACAGTCGTCCAAGGAACCCACGTCCTGGTACACGGAATCCACGGTCTTAAGTATGCGGCCCGGGAACTTTTTGAACTCGCACAGCTTGACCGGCTCGTCCACGCAGTTGTTTTCCAAGTAGTCAATGCCGGCGGCTGGTTCGAATGCCCCCTGACCGGCCACTGTCAGCCTGTCCATGTCAGACATGTCGCATTCCGCCGTACCGTTGTTGTAGTTTGCTGATCTATTGCACATAATAAAACATGGGCGACTTAATATTAAAGCAAATATAATGATGTATAAATATTAATTTGGATCGGTATCGTCTTCGTATGCGTCTATTGTATATATATGTATGTATGTATGTATGTATGTATGGTGGATAGGGTATTTTTGCCAATTTATGTAATTGACTTTCTTCCAAAGTGATTGGCAAGTTATAAGTAAGACAAACTTTAATTTTCACTTAACGGATGGTTACAATTTGGAACAGATCTGAAGTTATGTTACTGAATTAATACCTAGATAATATTGAACTTACTATATTGGTTTAGAAAATTGATACAGTTCGTTATTATGATTTTCTTTTAATAGATACTAAAAAATAATATTTTTTACATACAGTTTACTCAGGACACAAAG